GGGTTTAGGGTTTAGGGTTTAGGGTTTAGGGTTTAGGGTTTAGGGTTTAGGGTTCAGGGTTCAGGGTTTCGGGTTTAGTTTAGGGTTTAGGGTTTCGGGTTTCGGGTTTAGGGGTTTGGGGGTTTTGGGTTTCGGGTTGAAGGGGAAATGCTAGAGTCTGAGGCGAAGTCCAGGGCCCTTCTTTGAGGGTTTGGCTTGCGATGTTCCCCGATATTCTAGCAGTCCTTCATAGGGATTCTAATGGGGGGGGGGGGGTACTGTAATCCCTACTAAGGACTGTTAGTATAAGGGTTGACATCCGGCTTGGGTTTTGAGTGTTTAGGGCTTTTGGCTTTCGGGCTCAAGGGTCAAGGGTTTAGGGCTTGGGGTCGGCGTCCGGACGTACAAGGGGGGTTTGGATTCAAGGGTTTCGGAGTTCGGGTCTACCTGCAACCGCACAACTCCCTAAGGGTCCACGTACCTGATTATGGAATACTTGGGCCTTAAAGTACTTCCTATATAAGGACTTTTGGGTCTAAGTGTATAATAATAAGGTACATGGACCCTTGGGGACTGTATACAAATTCATAGTTTACAGCCCACTAAAGTACCGGGCATTGGCCTTGAAGAGCTCCGCTGGCTCAAAACCGCTTCAGGAGCCGTATATGGTAAGGCCTTTGGGAAAGCCCCAGATTAAGAGTCCTTTTCGCCTTCAACAACTACTATTTGCTTAAGAACACCCCCCCCCCCCCAAAAAAAAAAAAAAAGTCATCAAATAGCAATCCTTCTGTTGCGCTTATAGGGAAGAATACGTTCTATTTTTGGGGTGGTTCTTAAGCAAACAGCAGATGACTTCAGGGTTTGGGCTTGGGGCTTAGGGTTTAGGGGTTCAACGTGTGAACCTACGCTGCATCCGAGGCCCCTGCTCGCGAGATGCGGTTGGAGACAGTGACCTGCACGAAGGGTTTAGGTAGGGTTAGGGCGTATTTAGGGTTTAGGGTTTGGGCTTTTGGGTTTAGGGTTTGGAGTTCAGGGTTTAGGGTTTAGTATAGGGTCTAGGGTTTAGGAGGGGGGGTTTGGGGTTTTGGGCTCCGGCCGAAGTTTATCTTCTTCCGACTGCCGCTAGGCTTTGGGAGGAAGCTTGTGGTTGAGGGCTTAAGCCATAGAACCCTGTACATGGATTGGGGCGGGGGGGAGTTTTCTATCTTGCGGCCACCGGTCGTGTTCCACGAATGATTCTATATAAGCTGTATGTATATATACATGTCATATATTCTGCAAAAAGGGCGTCAGAACGCGAACACTGGCCAGAACTCGGCAGTCGTTTTTGCACCTTGGAAAGGTCGGCCTTGGCTGTGCTTCTCACCTTCCAAGCCACCTTCGCGGCGTGCGGCGGGTGGTAGAGGCTTGTCGCCTTCGGTTGATCCTCTTCTGAGGGGCTTGTCGCCTTCGGTTGATCCTCTTCTGAGGAGCACCAGCAGCTTCCAAGCGTTGAGCTGTAACCTCTTCGCTCGCCAGACTTGCTCACAAGTTGCAAGCTCCCGCTCATTGACTTGGACTAAGGAAACGCCATTCAGCATGCCAACTCCTTTCTGCCAGAGCCGGTTTCATACCCGCTGTTCTTAGTTTATGAGTTCCCCGAACAACAGCCCAGGTGCCTTCGTTCTGGGATAGAACCACGCGATGAGGCCAGGAATGACTAGAGAACAAGACCATAAGTTTGCTGGCTGTGGCTAGGGCTTTGGATTCGGGTGTTCCCCTTATATTAACAGTCCTTAGAAGGGGGGTTATGCTATAATGCCCATTAAAACACCGTTAGTATAAGCGGGCTTTAGGGTTTAAGGCAGAGGTTTGGGATTCTAGCGTTGTAGCTTTGGGGATGAAGGTGTCAGGGTTGTGATTTAAGGCCCAGGGGTTTAGGGTTTAGGGTTTAGGGTTTAGGGTTTAGGGTTGAGGGGTGTAAGGTTTAGGGTTTAGGGTTTGGGGTCCAGAGATCTGTACAAAACCCGTCTCCTGAGCCTTCTCGAAAGACGCGTGCAAAGCCTACCACCCTCATCCCTAAACCCTAAGCTCTAGACCCCAAACCACCCCTTAACCCTAAACCTTAAACCCTACACCCTAAACCCTAAAGAAACCCTAAACCCTAAACCCTAAACCCTAAACCCTGAACGTTAGCAGGAGCATTTCAGACTCGACTCTGACTGAGACCCTGCATAGCAAGTTCCCTGAGCCTTGCAGTGAACCATGACCCCTAAAAAGAAATGGGTAGTTCTCAAAATTCGGAACCCTAAGCCCTAAGCCCTTAACCCTAAACCCTAATCCCTAAACCCTAACCCCCTTTTTTGGGCACCCTTTCCTCTAGCACTGCACCGATAACATCCACATAATTCAGCCCTAAACCCTAACACGCTAAACCCTAAACTGGAAACCCTAAACCCGAAACCCAAAACCCAACCTAGACCCTATAAACCCTAAACCCTCAACCCTCAACCCTCAACCCTAAACCCTAAACCCTAAACCCTCAACCCTCAACCCCAAACCCTAAACCCTAAACCCTAAACCCTATTAGGGTGAGGGTTCTTGCGGCGGGAGTTCCTCGGATTGCCGACGCTCGGCGACCTCGTGAAGGAGCTTGATAGGGCCGGTAGGGTTTAGGGTTTAGGGTGTAGGGTTTATGGCTTAGGGTCTAGGGCTGAGGGTTTAGGGTTTAGGGCTTAGGGTTTAGGGTTCAGGGTTTAGGGGGAGTTTGCGGGGACCCCTCAAGAAGGGCGGCCAGAGCTTTGGATGTAGGATTAACAAGGTCGAGGTTGATGGTGTAGGGCCTAGTTTAGGGATTGAAGGGTTTAGGGTTTAGGGTTTAGAGTTTAGAGTTTGGGGTTTAGGGTTTAGGGTTTACGGATTGGAGGGCCAAGCCTTTGGCACGAAGGGGTTCACAGGGTTTGGGGGGTCGGGCCCACAGAAACAAACCTCCAAGGGAAGCTAAGCATCCCAGAACATGAGAAACCAAACGCCATGCTCCACCCCCAAACCCCAAACCCTAAACCCTGAACCCTAAACCCTATACCCTAAACCCTAAGCCCACCCCTAAACCCTAAACCCTACACCCTAAACCCTCGCGGGCCTACCGAGGTGGTTTCCAGGTTAGTGTAGCAAGAGGTGAAGAAGGGCTCACTGGCTCACCAGCTGAGCGGCCCGCGTCTCTGGGTTTATGGTTTAGGGTTGTAGCAGGGAGATTAGGGTTTAGGGTTTATAAGGGGTTTAGGGTTTCAGGTTAATTTAGGGTTTAGGGTTTAGGGTTTAGGGTTTAGGGGTTCTTGCATGACCTCGAGCTCATCCGGTACGAACTTGGCCGGCCGCTCCGTCGTCAACCCCCGGCGACGGAGTGCTGTTGATGGCTGCATTTGCGGCTTCATCTCACGAGGCTTCTCTCCCGCCGCGCTTGAAAAACCCCAGAACCTAAACCCTAAACCCTAAACCCTAAACCCTAACCCCTAAACCCTAAACCCTAAACCCTAAACCCTAAACGCTAAACCCCTCCGGCCCGGGGAGCCATGGAGGGCCTGTCGCGGCGCAGGCAGTGAGGGTTGCTGGAAGGCTCACGAGGCGCTTAGGAGCTGCGCAAGTAGCTTCGAACTAGGCCTTAGGGTTTAGGATTTTAGGGTTCAGGGTTTAGGGTTTAGGGTTTAGGGTTTAGGGATTTCGGAGTTGGGGTGAGTACCCTGGGGGTTACGCTAGCTGCAACTTGAAGTATACTAACCTAACTTATACTAGGCTCCCCAGGCTTTATTTAGGGCTGAATATTGAAAGGGCCCAAACTCCAAACCCTACACGCATGCCAAACCACCCGTACTAAGCTGAAATCCCCGCCCGAAGCCCAACATCCGACAACTCCTGCACACGCCACCCCTAAACCCTAAACCTTAAACCCTAAACCCTAAACCCTAAGCCCTAAGCCCTAAGCCCTAAACCCTAAACCCTAAACAAAAAACCCTGATAGACTTTCAGAGCCTCGTCGCACAGCTTCTCGCCCAAGTGTTCGGTGCCGGTGGCCACAACCTGAACCAACCTGCGCCCCGGATTTCGTTTCTGCTGGGCTGCAGCACTGGTTCGAGGGGCTTGGAGTGTTAGCCTTTTGCTGTTGAAGCAATACCATTATAAGTTCGTTTTGTTTTTTTTTTTTTTTTGGGGGGGGAGGGTCTAGGTGCAATTCTTCTTGCTAACATGTTTTTTTGTTGTGGGTGCAGGGCACCTTTTGGAGGTTTAGGGTTGTAGAGAAGCTTTAGTAGACATAGACCTTGACCATTGACCCTAAACCCTTTAACACTAAAACTCTTAACCCTTGTCTTAAGGCCTCTGAGCATGATCATGAAAACTTGATGATGGACAATGGCAGTTGCCGCAAGCGAAAGCACAACAGGGCTTAGGGCTTCGGGCTGACATGAGTTTAGGGCTGAGGGTTTAGGGCCTAAGATTTAGGATTTAGGGCTGACATGGGCTGGCTTTCTCTGACAGGAGTTTAGGGTTTATGGTTTCGGGTTTAGGGCTGCCATGAGTTTAGGGTTTCGGGTTTAGGGGTGATGTAGAGTGTCTTGGTCAGCGTCAAAAGGGCGGGGCCTGAGTGGGAGGATGGTTTAAGGATTTTGGACGGCTTCGGGCCAGGGTGGCGGTGGAGGGGTTTAGGGTTTAGGTTTAGGGTTTAGGGTTTAGGGTTTAGGGTTTAGGGTTTAGGGTTTAGGGTTTAGGGTTTCGGGTTTAGGGTTTAGGGTTCAAAGCGCCAAACCCTAAACTTGGAACCCTGAACCCTGAAACCCTGAACCCTGAAAATCCCTGAGCCCAAGAACCCTGAATCCTAAGCCCCTGAACCCTAAACCCTCGAACCCTAAAAAACCTCGAACCCTGGACCCTCAACCCTAAACTCTAAACCCTAAAGCCTAACCGCCCCTAAAAACCCTCGAGCCCTTGACCCTAAACCCTAAACCCTAAACCCTAAACCCTAAACCCTAAACCCCCCCCCCCTCCCCCTAAAAACCCCAAACAGCCCTACAAGGCCTCACAACTTCGTTCAGTTGGCCAGCAAGGGCGGCGCTGGATTGAAGGCCCATGGGTCCTGGCACCCCTAGGGTTTAGGGTTTAGGGTTTAGGGTTTCGGGTTTAGGGTTTCGGGTTTAGGGTTTAGGGTTTCGGGTTTAGGGTTTAGGGTTTCGGGTTTAGGGTTTAGGGTTTCGGGTTTAGGGTTTAGGGTTTAGGGTTCAGGGTTTAGGGTGGCACCCCTAGCCCTACTTCCACCAATGAACGCAGCTAGAGGCTTTGGGATTTAGGCTTTAGGCTTTAGGCTTTAGGGCTACAACAGAACTGGCTGCTTCTTAGTAGGGAATGAGGGAATGAGGTACCCTTCTTCTCCATAAACGAATCCCCTAGAGGGTATATATAGGGCCCTATTTCCCTGCTTCCCTACTAGAACCAGGGGGGTCTTGCACTGGCAGATTGTATGGGTTTCGGGCTTCTGGCGTTTGTTAAGGGGTATAGCGAGGGAGCCCTAGAAAGGGACTCTTAATCTTATTCCCCGATAAAACGCCCCTGTATATACCTTATAGAATCCCTATATACCTAACTGCCAAGTAAGTGGCGCACTGAGGGTTGGGGTTTGGCTTGGGGTCGATTCTGGTTCGAGGTTTCCATGTTTTCAGGGGCCGTTTTGGGTTTAACGGTGTTAGGGCTTAGGGTTTTGGGGTGTTGGGGTTCAGGGCTTAACGCCAGCAGCCCAACAAAGAATAGCGGGGCATTCTTCAAGAGCCCAACAGAAAGCACGTCCTCAAAACACGCCCAACCCTTGTAGGCTTTCATTATCCTGAAGTCCTTAAGTGTTCTTGATTGGCCAGAATCTAAACCCTAAACCCTCTTTGAGATCCATCACATGATATGCCAGACACCCAAACCTCAATCCCTAAAATAACCGAAGACCTGAGTTACATATCCTAAGCCCTAACAGCCCTAACACCTCCAGCAAAAACGAACCGACTAACTCTAACCCCCGAGACGTCAAATCCCAAACCTTGCATAAGCCATCATCCCTGAACCCAACGACAAACCCCAAAACCCCAGGACCTCTCTTCCCCCAAACCGCCCTAAACCCCAAACCCTAGGCCCTAAGCCCAAAACCTTGAACCCTAAACCCTAAATCCTAAACCCTAAACCCTACACCCTAAACCCTACACCCTGAACCCTAAACCCTAAACCCTAAACCCTAAACCCTAAACCCTAAACCCTAACCGTTCGCTGGCACCTTGTGACGCATCTCCGCCGCCTGCCAGTCTTGCACTTGAACGCTCACTTCCGTCAGGGTGCGCTTAGGGCTTAGGGTTTAGGGTTTAGGGTTTAGGTTTTGAGGTTTAGGTTTAGGGTGTAATTTCCCAAAGTTTTAGGGTAGTTACATGTTCTCTTACTATGGGCCCTTCAAGGGGACCCCTCAAACACCCCTTATATAGCCTGTACAACCCAAGGCCATACATCAGAACCCTTTAAAGCGGGCACGGGACCATGTTAATGGCCCACGAAACTACCCTTGGACTAAAGAACCCTTTTAATCCTACGATCCAACTTAGGGTAGATGATGGAACTTGAAAGGGGCGAGGACTTGTGCATAGCTCTCGCCCAACAAGTGCCGGCGGACCGGCAACAAGTAACCAATGAAGGTAGCAACCTCACTGAAGACAACGGGCGTTGTCAAGGTAATGTGTCCTAGAATCCAGACCAGAAAACCAGACGACGGGTCGGAAACCACGGACCTAGGAGAGACGACGGCTGTCGTCAACTAAAATCTCGCTTGTGGCCCTGGAGTACCGATGATCCAGGATAAACCTCCTGGTCTCGATCGCCCAGGCCACCCTAAACCCTATACCCTAAACCCTAAACCCTAAACCCTAAAGATGGTGTTGTCGCCTTTGTGACCAGCAGGCCAAGACGCTCCTTACATCGCTCAGGAGTGACCTGAGGCCGAGAGTGGGCTCGCGAGCCTTGCACTCCCAGGCAACGTGATGCCATGTAGGCGGCACAACATGGCCAAAGGGGCAACCCTAAACCCTAAACCCTTAACCCTAAACCCTGAACCCTGAAACCTGGGTCAGGGCAGCGCTGACGGACCAAAGTGGCAGGGGTGATGGTTGCCCCACTCGGCACCTGGAAGTGCCGGAAGGATCACAGAGCAGCGGGGTAGCATCGGCCCGCGGATGACCCTCAACCCTAAGATGAAGCCCCCGAAGCCTCGAAACCCACCCCTAGACCTCTAAACCCTAAACCCTAAACCCTAAACCCTAAACCCTAAACCCTAAACCCTAAACCCTAAACCCTAAACCCTAACTCTCGCAACCCTAAACTCTCCCATAAGCCCTATACCATGAAGCACCCCTCTCTACCTTAAACCTCCAAACCATAAACTCTAAACCCTAAACCCTAAACCCTAAACCCTAAACCCTAAACCCTAAACCCTAAACCCTAAACCCTAAACCTTAAACCTTAAACCCTGAATCTGGCTTAAGTAAGAAGGGCGATAGAAGCCGCACAGGATGCCATGTGGCACGTTGGAGTCAGTTTTCAGGGCATAGCGAACCCTGAAGTGTTAGAGTTTAGGGTTCAGGGTTTAGGGTTTGGGGTTTAGGCTTTAAGGTTTAGAATTTGGAGTTTGGGGTTTAGGGTTTAGTTTAGGGTTTAGGGTTTGGGGTTTAGGGTGGGGTCTCCACGTGGAAAGCCCACGGCCCGGAGAAAAAAAAGGCGCCTGCGATGTTGTCCTGCCAGATGACAAGAGGGCATTGGGATTTCTTTGGGGTGTAGGGACACCCTCAAACTCAAACCCTCAAACCCTCAAACCCTCAAACCCTCAAACCCTCAAACCCTCAAACCCTCAAACCCTCAAACCCTCAAACCCTCAAACCCTCAAACCCTCAAACCCTCAAACCCTCAAACCCTCAAACCCTCAACCCTCAACCCTAAACCCTAAACTTCTTGATTTTAGGGCTCAGAGTTTAGGCAGGAAAGGCTTTTGCACGCGGGCATTGGGAGCATGAGGCTTTGACAGCTGACCAAGCTTGAGGCTTAGGGTTTAGGGTTTAGGGTTTAGGGTTTAGGGTTTAGGGTTAGGGTTTAGGGTTTAGGGTTGAGGGTTTGAGTTAAGGGTTCAAGGGTTCAAGGGTTAAGGGTTCAGGGGGTTAAGGGTTTAAGGGATTAAAGGGTTTAGGGGTTGAAAGGGTTTGAAGGTTCAAGTGTTTAAGGGTTCAAGGGTTTCAGGGTTCAAGGGTTAAGGGGTTCGGGGGTTTAAGGGTTTAAGGGTTGGAGGGTTTGAAGGTTTAAGGGTTAAATTGAGGCTTTTATGGGCTTAGAGACTTAAGGGCTGAAAATGGGTCTCGGGATTTGGGGGATTTGAGAGCTCTTAGGAGCTTAAGGGCTCATACTTCTCGCCCTTGTATTATAGTGCTTATGGGTTTGTAGGTGTGAGAGATCTTAAGGGCCTTTATGGTCTACGCAGCGTGAGGATGATGAGCCCAGGGAGTGCTGGCCAGCATGGTTTTGGGGTTTAGGAGGTTTAGGGCTTCATTAAGGGTCCTCGCAGGTATATATTTGGGCCCCAAAATCCCTATCTAGGAAGTACTGTACTTAAGGCCCAAGTCTTCCCTATTTAGGTAATTACATGGCGTAGGGTTGAAGATCCAGATCATCTTGGGGATACCCAAAAAAATACACTTTAGGGCTTGGGCCTTGTGAACCCCGACTGTACTAGGATGGTTCAGGGAACCTGCTCTGTTGAACGGGTGAATGCGTTACTTTAGACTGCGCGGCAAGTTTGTTTGCGGCTGACTGGCCATGTTATGTTACCCTAAGCCAGAAACCTAAATCCGAAACCTAAACCCTAAGGTACGCTCTAGACTGTCGCGCGGATGAATTGAAAGAGCTTAGAGAAAGCGGAAGCCGTTAAACCCTAAGACCTGTAGCCTGTGGACCCCAAATCCTGAAACCTCGAACTCGTGCACGGAATACCTCCCTGGTCACGTATGGCGAACACTTAACCCTAAACCCTAAACCCTGAACCCTAAATCCTAAACCCTAAGCCCTAAACCCTAAACCTTCTTGGGGTCATGCCATCCCCGTCCTCGATCTTACGGAGAAGTTCCGCTCGAGTGGCGGCCTCAGGAGCAGGGTTTTAAGTTTTAAGGGATTGAGGGATTAGGGTTTAGGGCTTAGGGTTTAGGATTTAAGATTTAGGGATTAGGCTTTAAGTTTTAGGGGATTTAGGGTTTGGGGCTTAGGGTTTCAAAGTTTTCAGGGACTGAGGGCTTAGGGCTTAGGGTTTAGGATTTAGGGCTTAGGGTTTGGGGTTTAGGATTAAGGGCTTGGAGTTTAGGGCTTAGGGTTTAGGATTTGGGGTTAGGGTTTGGGGTTTAGGATTTAGGGTTTAGGGATTAGGGTTTAGGATTTCGGGTTTAGGGTTTGTATTGGGCTTTGAAGGGTTAAAGGGTTTTACGTTTGAGGGTCTCAGGGATGAGGGTTCTGTAGTGTTTTCTGAGCTCAAGGGACTTAAGTTTGAGGTTCAGCGAAAGGCTTCAGGGCTCGAGGGATACGGGTTTCTACAGGTCTTAGAGGGTGTAATAAGAGGATGTGCAGGTTTGGTTTCGGGTTAGGGGTGAGGTTTAAGGTTTCAATTACGGGTTCAGCGCATACCGAGTGTGTACAGGTTTTAAGGATTAAGAGGGGGGTTTAAGTTTGAGGTCTAAGCTATAGGCTTGAGATGTAAGATAAGGGTTTATGTAGGGCTTTAAGGGTTAAGGGTTTGAGTTTAAGGATTTGCGGGATGCGCATTTTTTGGTTTCGGTATGCTGGTGAGGGTTTAGGGTTCATTACGAGATCAAAGGTTGAGGTTTGATAGGGCTTAGGGCAAAGGGGATTTTATCGGTTCATGGGCTTTAGGGTTTCAGGCTTTAGGGCTTTAGGGCCGGACAAAAGCTAAGTTTTGGGGGCTTAGGGTTTAGGGTTTGGGGTTTCGAGTATAGGTCTGGGTTTTTTTTTCGTCAGATTGGGGAGCAATGCAAAGAGTTGAAAGCCTTGGACCCTCACGCTATAGCTAAGGCCCATAAGCCCCTGAGACCCTGGACACCCCGCATACCCTCAACCCGAAACCACCCTCCCCCGCAACAAAAACAGAAAACAGCTTAACCTTGTAAATCCTGTACCCTCTACTCTGGAATAGAGCCTGGCAAAAAAGTAGCTAGAACGGGAACCCAGAACCAACAAAAAAGTATTCACGTATGGTACTCCAAAACCCAGAACCGATGTGGGGAGCTGTTTGAGGGCCGCGCCAGGTCACCTCGCAGGTCGGCCGCCTGCCTCGTCTTTACAAGTCATTTGGGGGGGGTGGGGGGCTTGGGGGTAGGGTTTAGGGTTTAGGGTTTAGGGTTTAGGGTTTAGGGTTTGGAGTTTAGGGTTCAGGGTTTAGGGGCCTTAGGGTTTCCGAACATCCTGCTGGGGTGGGGTAGGGGGGGGTTCCTTGGTAAGTGGGGATTCTGCCATATTCTGGGGTATGAAGCGGGACGCTAGCAAGCTACCCGTGCTTAGGAAGCCGTACACCCCTGAACACGAAAACCCCAGCCTAGATAGACCAAGAACTACGGAAAATCCCCTTGCTTGTACAGTTGCTAAATGGCTCGTGGAGCTTAGTAAGCAGATTACAGCCACGGGGGGGGGGGGGGGACAAAAACGCGTTAGGTTAGGTTTCAGACAACCTGGCTTACAACCTGCTTACAAACATCCTGAGCTTGTGCGCAACGATACGTAGGAGACGTGTACCCTAGGTTCGAGTAAGCAAAGCCCCATTAAGGGTTTTCATAGCTCTACTTAGGAATTGAGGCACGGGGGGACGGTGCCTCACTGTAGGAAGCCCTAAACCCTGAACCCTAAACCTCATGAACCCTAAGCCTTATAAACCCTAAACCTTACAAACCCTAAATCCTAAACCCTAAACCCCAAATCTTAAACTCTAAACCTTAAAAAACCCTAAACCTGACAAACCCTAAACCCTAAACCCTAAACTGAACCTTACAAGCCCTAAATGCGAAAACAAAAGCTACCCACCTTTTCTTCTTTGAGCAGCTAGAGGCTTCAGTCGTATTGGGCTCATAGTATGCTTGCTATACACTTTACATGGCACACTACAGAACACACTGGGGATTGAACATTGTTCGCACCCTCCTTGTGCCAGGGAAAGTGTCACTCTGACTTCATTCCTTGCACACAGAATCCACACGGGTGAAACTGCTTAAGTCCTTTCGACTTCTTCAGTGCTCTGCACTCCACACTGGCATGGTATGCACCCCCTAATTGAGATACGAAGAGCAGTGAGTGCTTTGCATCTTTGGCACTGCGCTTGTAGCAAATGAAATGAACACTGCAGAGCAATACGCTCATGCATCCGAGCATAACCGCACCCAGGTTCAGCAGCAAACTGTAGAACAACAGATCTTGCTGGCTTAGGAACCTGGTGTCACCCAGAGCAATCCATTGCATCATGGCATCTCCCATCTTACGTGTTCTTTCTCTTGCTCTTCAAGAGTGCGCTGTGATACTGTCTAATGCTTAGACTTGAGCTGCGCTGCGGTTTCCAGGGCTTGTTGCTCGCAACCGCTCCCACCGATTTCATGCTCATTTTGCTGACGTGGTTGTCCAAACCCCTTTCAGTCAGATCAACCAGTCCCACTCTCTCAGTTCCTCTCTTCATCTCATCTCCTGTCTTCAAATATTTCGTGAGGATATCCGCAGGGTTTTCGGTTCCCTCAATTTTGCCTATGATCACTTTCTTGTTCTTCACTAAGTCCTGAATGACAAGATGTGCTATTTCAATGCGCCGCATCTTTCCTACTCCCATCTTCTTGGCGGCTTGCAGCGCCGCTGAGGAATCGCACCAAATACGCGGGACATTAACTGTCATGCCAAAATCTTCCTGCGCAAGATTGCGTACAAACACTGCACTAAGAGCACAATGGTTGAGCGCCCTAATCTCAGCCTCGCCTGAAGATGTTGCTGGAGTTCCGGGTTGTGTGTGACTGTTGCACTCAACGGCTGTCCCTCCTAGAAACAAGATTTCCCCGCTAGTACTTTTACGGTCTTCTTCGTTCCCGGCCCAGTCTGAGTCACAGTAGCAATGCAAGTCGACGCTCTCATCATTTCTAGCATCTGCTACAGAAACATGTCCCATGTCTTTTGTGCCCTGCAAATACCTCCCTAAGATCTTAAGATTCTGCATGTCGCAAACCCTTGGCTCTCGAATCCTTCTTGCCAGTTCTTTCACGCTGTACTTGATGTCAGCTCTGTCTTGACTGAGGTAAATCGCACTTCCTACACAGCTCGCAAACAAAGCTTTGTCCTGTTCATTCAGCAGGCCGTCCTTTTTGAGTTCCAGCTTCCGCCCAGGCACCGAAGAACTCTTCGCTTCCTCCAGGCCCAAACGCTTAAGGATGTACTCGATGTGCTTCCTGTTTGGCTTTGTGATCACCGCATCTTCCGTGTTGATCTTTGTGCGTCCCAGATACTCCGTGGACGTTTGGCTTCCCAAACCTGGGTACTCATATTCGCCAACCTTGACCTTGCAGCCGTTTCTTGGTAGCTGCACGAGCAGAAGATCATCCGTCATCTCCTCTGGTCCGCAAACGTCAAAGTCATCGATATGGTGAATGAGTACTATGCCTGTGAGTTTGCACTTGTAAACACAAGCATCTAGCTTCCCGCGTGAGAAGGAGTACTTGTCCTTTGGAAGCTGGCGTAGTAGAATTTCTTCTAGTCGATCTCGGTACGAAGCAGCTGCTGGTTGTCTCCCATACACGTTTCCGTCCACCTGCCACACAATGCTTTCTTTGGGCACGTTACCCAGCTCTGCCTGAACCTCTTTGCTTTGCTTTAGCAACCACTCGTCATATTCCTCCAGCCACTCGGCTGGAGGCCTCATCATGACAGGTTGTCCTTTGTCATCACCACTGTCTTTTGCAATGAGGAAGGCTGAGGTGAGATCCACCTTCACGCGTGGTAAACCAGTTTTCAAACTGTAGACCTCCAAAACCTTTCGACTCACCGCGTGCGGCGTGGGGCAAAAGTTGTTTGCTCCTTCAGAACTGTGTCTCTCTTCTGACGTCTGCTTCTTCTTGAAATCCTGGCATGTAAGTCTGCTTTTGACTCTGCCCTCACTGACCTTATCCACCCATCGATGCCCAAAGATAGTGATGTCTCGCGGTAGTTCCCTCCTGTCTCGAGGAGTGAACGCTCCAAAGACATCGTTAAGCTTGCGGATTTCCTCTCTGCGAGCTTCTTGGAGATCCATCTCATTGGGCGAGAGGGTGTCAAGGTAGTCCATAATGTTGGCGACCATCACCTTGCTGAAGCAGTCCCGGTGTTGCTTGACCCATCTTCTGTAGTTCATTATGTCTTCCTTCGTGACACTCCTGGTGCCTTTCATGTCCCATTCGCCATCATTTGCAATCGCTGATATCATTCTTTGAGATGCTTCACCTGGTGCCCTCATTGATGCATCTGAGTTTGCCCTTGACACTTCCATGCTCTGCGCCTCACTTCCTGTGGCCATACTGTCACCTGGAGTTGCTATGTTGAACCTCTCCGGTCCCCCATTCTCACCAGGCTTTCCGGCGTCACCCGGCGCAGCTGTCGCAGCATCCGTGCGCGCTTTCTTCACCACTGGTCCCTCCTGGGTCTCTACTCGTGGCGCAGGAAGCATGATAACTGGCACTGCTGCTTTTGGTCCACTTTCTCCATGGAAATCGTAGAGCTCCTCAGGCTCTGCGGTTGGCAGCGCTGACGCCGCTGGCCGTGATTTCTCCGGAGCAGGCTTGATCCGATCAACTCCTTCCAAAGTGTTCCACGGCACTCCCCGCGCCTGTTTCAAGGTCTCAAGCTGAAATTGGGACCCTGCTGGCAGTCTGCGGACTGTCCGCACCGTCTCAACTCCAGCACTCGTCAACACCAAGTGTTCGTCCGACATCAGCGTCTTTCCCGCATAGATTCCCTTAGTCCATCGAGGCGCCGCCTTCTGCTGACTTGCTGAGAACTTTGCCATTACCGTCTCTCCCAGCGGTACCAACTCGCCCACGTAGTCATGTCCACAAATCACTTTGCGCGGTGTTGTCTTGGACTTGTTAAGGTGATATCTCGCAAGTGTCCATGCAGCATGCCGCACCACCCATGGGAACAACATCCCATCACACCTCAAACCTTCACCATAGCCTGTTGCTATCTCTGCCATCCATGTCCGAATTTTACCGGCGATCAAACCATTGACCATTTCGCCGTCAGCAAGTGATTGTGAACTGTGCTTTGGCGACCTCCGGATTTTCATTTTGTTCTGCATCTTAAGCTTGACCTTCTCGTACAAGCTGCCTAGTGCATTCTCTTGGTCGATTTGCACCATCACCTGGTCCCATCCTAGCTGATCAAGCCACTTGGTCATTGCATCCACTGCGAAAGCCCCCGCGCCTTTGGCTGGAACAACGGACGCAAAAGGATACTGACTGTCCTTGTCGATGGCGGTTAGGACTGTTATGAGTCCTTTTTCCTTTGTGTCTTTTGCCACCTGTGTCCCGTCCTTTGTGAAGAACATGTAGTCCGAATACACGATGTGATTCTTTGAGTCCTCCTTTGCCCTGTAGTGTGGCTTGCCCCTTCCTTGCCCTTTCACACAAGTTTCGCACCACGGCTCAAAGTTTGCATGATGCAATCTGTGCAACTGCTTCTCAGCATCTGTGGGCTGATAGGGCACTGCCACTGCCTCAGGGGAGGGCTCAACATCACCATCATCCAGCACATGCCTTTCTACCGGTCTCTCCAACTCACGAAGAAACGACAGGTCATCGGCCGTCTCTTTCTCCACGTCACTTGGTTGATAGATGTCCCATTCCACATACTCATCCTTGTCATCCGTTTTGTCCGCGTTCACTAGCGGTTCCGGCTCCGGCTTGAGTTTGAACCAAGATTCGCCAGTCCATGCCTTCTTCATGCTTTTGGTGGCCTACCTCTTCTCAGTCCACACTCCTTGGTGGTCCTCGGTTGCACCATCCAAGGCATATACGATCTTTGTCAACCTTCCTGGCATTATCCTTGCCAGTGGCACGGGTAGATCCTTCACCCTGTCAGGCGAGAACAAACAAACCCGACGTGAGTTGTGGACCCTGATCAGGTACTCGTCTCCATCCTTGCTTTCCCGTCTCCAGCTGTCCACTCCCTCGTCGTCGTCTCTACCTCGGTCTACTGGTGCCACAGGCGCTACCCTGTTTCCAGGCCGGTGTTCCCCGGAGCTGGCTCCAACCTTCTTCAGTCGGAGGTACCAACGCTTACCATGCAACTCCAAAGGAATGCGCTCACCGTCCTTCGTAGTCAGGTGGCATCCTTCCGGTGTGAAGTGTACCTGGTGGCCTCTCTGCACCAGACTGTGCACCGACAACAAACTCTCAGCAGCATCTGTCACCGTCATCTCCATCACCCCCTGAAGATTACCTACGGCGACATGTGGGTACTGCTTTCCGTACACGTTCAACGGGGTGCCTTGCACACTGTAAAGCGGTCTCGCCCCGCTCTTGTCAACCGGTTCTTTGACATCACCAACCTTTGCTACACTTTCACACGCTCCAGAATCAATCAAAACATAATGCAAGTCATCATGGGTCCTGACTGCTGCGATTCTGTCCTCACACACGGAAAAGATAACGTTGTCTGGCGAGTACGGCGCAACAGATCCCACTGTACTCGAACCTCCCGTTCCTGACGCTGGTTGCGCTTGCGCGGTCTCCCCAGACTGCCCTGCAGAGTAGTCTGCAGAAGCCTCAACGCTACCTATCTTCCACCAGCAATCCGCAGCGATGTGTCCATACTTATGGCAAATGTGGCACTGCTTCCCGGCATGTGGGTTACCTACGCCTTTTCCCTTATTGCTCCTGTCTTTGTCTTTTCCTTTTCCTTCCTTCCCTTTGTCCTTTGATTTTCCTTCTCCTTTGCCCTTTCCTTTGTCCTTTCCTTTCTCCTTGCCCTTACCAGTTTTCCATGTTTCCCTGTTGCTTCCCCGGAATTGCTGTTGCGGCGTGTATCCTTGCTTGTGTTGCTTGTAGCTGTCCTTGCCTTTGCCATCCTTGCCTTTACCATCCTTTCCTCGCAACGCACCTATCTCCATGTCCCTTGGACCTCCATCGTCAACAGGGTTGTCCGCAACTTTGTTGGTAACCTTGGTCAAACCAAACTGGGATCCATGTGGCCTTTTCCAAAGGTTCTTGTTGATCAGGTACTGTTCGATATACCCCCTGATTTTCCCATACGTGTCAAGTGCGTCACTGTGCATGAAAATGCTCTGCTGCAACTCCTTTGGCGCAACATGTGCAATGATCGAAATCTTCTCTTCTTCTGACATTGGTGTCTTGAACGCTCTCTCAAACTCTCTCAGCTCTGATTCCCATTGATGCAAAGCCGAACTCCACAACGCAGGATCTGAAGGGAAATTGGGATTAGCCAAGTGTCGCCTCCACACCCATGCCTTTGTTCTGTAGGCCGGCTCGCTGAGCTGAACCAACCGCCTCCAAACCTCAAAGCCATTGGCGTTGTGAAGCCCTTGGCCTACTACACCCATGGTGGGTTCAGGGCAGTACTGGATCAGGAAAGTGTACATGGCCTTTGAAAGCTGATCTTCTTCTGGCGAAAACAAAGCATCATCTACAGGTTCTTTGGAGGCCCCATACTTGTCAAGTAACGCAGGATAATCAGCATGCACTGTTGAGCTCCAGGCTGTGAACACATGCCGAAACTTTTCCCACTCTTCTTTTTTTCCATTGTACTGATGCGGTTTGGGCACATTGCTGGGATGTATCAGTTGTTTGCTTTCTTTTGGCGACGCTGCAGCCTGAGCCGCAGCTCCTGCAGCCTGCGCCGTGACTCCTGCTGCTTGCGCTGTTGCACCCGCTGATTGTGCGGTAAGTTGTGCTGCTGCCAAGGCTTGTTCGGTCCTAGACAATCTCTCTTGCTGAGCCTGGTACGCGGCATTCGCTCTTTTCAAACCCTCGTTAAGTTCGAGGAGCTGTGCTCTCAAGGCCGCAACTTCTTCAGCGCTGGCCATTGCTTCAAAAAATTGTCCTACCACTGTACAGAAAACGAGTGTCTCACAGTCCTGGCCAGTCAAGAAAAGCTGGCCAAGGCTGCGGTGTCACCCGCTCCACTCGTGGCGGTACCCACGTCTGTTCCACTGGTCGGGACGATCCTCAGCACCCCTCGACCAGCGTCCGTAACCTTCCTGGTGCCAGCTGACCCGTCTGTCTCGGATCTCTTCCCAGCGACCGTGAAGTCTGTTGGCCTCGTTGTCTCGCCAGCTGATCTCCTGATCTTCGCTTCGATGGCTCCACTGCCAACTGTTCTTACCGTCGTTCTCCTGCCAACTGTCGCTTGTCGCGCTTCCACGAGCGTGTCCCCAAGCAACCCCCACTTCTGACCCGCGAGACTCGTAGTCGAAGTCCGCCTCGCTCTTTGGGTAGTTGCTGTTCCGGCTCGAAACCACGGAAGTCCCCCTTGCGGTCTGAGCCCTTGGCACTTCCAGCGGGCGCTGCTCACGCACCTCGCTTGACTCTGTGGCCGGCTGAACTCGTGTCCTGGCTGATCTTACTGAGATCGCAGGCTCGGTCCAATCCCACTCAGTTGGCGGTATCACCCGCGAATCAGCACGGGCCGATCGCGGTTCCTCCCGCTCAACTTCTGTTTCCTCTGCAGTCTCCTCAGAGTCGCTGCAGCTCCGAGTTGCCGACACCTGGCTCAAGCCTCTACCCAGGTCCTGGCGTACCCTGCTCTCAGCTGTGTCCCTGAGGTACGACAGTCGAGCACTCTTGCCAGGTCCCTGCTCAGCTATCTGTGTGAGTCCTGGGTAAGCCTTCTTCAACTGGCTCCACACCTGGCCCGCTGCAGAGCTCGAGCTGGCGGCTGTCGGAAGTCCTTCAGGGACGTAGCTTTCGTCGTCCAAGAAGCCTCCCCAACCAAGCGCAGATCCGTCCTGCGGTCTGCTCTGTAACCGCAGGGCGTCTGCAGTTGTCAACTGCCCCGACACAGGAGCGTTAGCCGGCTCTCGAGCTGGCTCGTCCTCTCCCTTCTGGAGAGCTCTCTCTGCCCTTCGGGCAAAGCCCCTAAGGGCCCTTCTTTCTGTAGACTCCTTGGACCTCTGTCGGCCCTTCTCCTCGCCTTTGCTCCCTTTGGAGACTTTGCCTTTCGGCCTCGAGGAATAGCCACGGGAGCCTGTACCTTTTCCCGTGATTCCTCGGTTGTCCAGTTTTGTGTGGCCTCTGCCACAGGGGTTTTGGCTGGACGCCCCCTGTCCTGCAAGTGTTGCGGTGTCACCCGCTAGAGCGGCGACACCCGCTTGTTCCGAAGCTGGAGCGAACCCAGCTCCGCTACCATGCGAAAACAAAAGCTACCCACCTTTTCTTCTTTGAGCAGCTAGAGGCTTCAGTCGTATTGGGCTCATAGTATGCTTGCTATACACTTTACATGGCACACTACAGAACACACTGGGGATTGAACATTGTTCGCACTAAACCCTAAACCCTGAAACCCTGACACCCTGAAACCCAAGATTCGCAAATTTCGCCAAAGCGTCGCCGTGAGTTCGCCTCGCAGGGATGCGGCCAGCACCTGCCAGGGCTTAGGGACATCCTGAGCCCTAAGCCCTAAACCCTAAACCCCTAAACCCCTAAACCCCTAACCCCTAAACCCCTAAACCCCTAACCACTAAACCCCTAAACCCCTAAACCCCAAGATCCCTAAACCCTGTACCCTGAACACCAAAATTCCTAAAACCCCTAAACCCTAAAACTTTTCTGGACTTTGGAGGTGTGATGGAGCATTCTGGTGTACAGTCTCTTCAGAGGGCCCTTCTTGACTTTGATAGCCCATCCTGATTAGGCTCCTAAACCCAACCCCTAACCCTGAACCCTAAACCCCTAAACCGCTAAACCTCAGAGCCCTATATAAGCCCTAAACCCCAATCCCTGGCATCGATGATTTGGTCATTCGCTCTGGTAGCACGGCACGCTCTCCTAACACTAGACACACGTGGAGCCAATCCCTAACCCCAAACCCCCTATATGAACCCTAAACCCTAAACCCTAAACCCTAAATCCCTAAACCCAAAACAAACCCCTAAATCTCTCAACCCCTAAAGGCCCTGAGCCCCCCCAAACCTCTTTCACCCCAAACCCCCAAACCGTAAACCTGTAAACCCGTAAAATCCCTAAACCCTAAAACTGAAAACCCCCAAACCCCTAAACCCCCACAACCTAAACCCGAAAACCGAAAGTAAACCCCAAACCCTAAACCCCTCAACCCCTGAACCCCTAAACCCTTAAGCCCTGAACCCTAACACCCTAAAACCTACACCCCTGAACCCCTAAACCCTGAACCCAGAACCCCTGAACCCTAAACCCCTAAACCCTAAGCCTAAACCCTGAACCCTAAACCCCTAACCCCTAAACCCTAAAACCTAAACCTCTAAACCCTAAACCCCCTAAACCCTAAACCCCCTAAACCCTAAAACCTCAATGACTTGCCTCCATGCGTGTCGTAACCTCCGCCACGAGCTCTGCCGCTGCTGCCCTGTCAGGCACGGATGTGAAATAGGGAGCCCAGGACTCCATGCAGTGTTTAGGGTTTAGGGTTCAGGGTTTAGGGTTTAGGGTTGGGGTTTAGGGTTTAGGGTTTAGGGTTTGGGGTTTGGGGTTTGGGGTTTGGGGTTTAGGGTTTATAGGGTTTAGGGTTTAGGGTTTGGGGTTTGGGGTTGGAGGTTTGGGGTTTGGGTTTTCGAGGCTTGAGAGGAGTGTTCAGTAGGGTTTGGTAGGGCTTTTGGGTTGGCAGGGCTTTGTAGCGCTTAGGGTTGGGGACTTTGGCTTTGGAGCTGCTTGTTCCTTTCCTTTAGGGTTTGGGGTCTACCTACGCTGCTTTCATCGGGGTTTATGAGGTTAAGTTTCTTCTGTCGTATGTAGTTCGAGTTTGGGTTTACTTGTCTTCCTTGAGGGTCCAGGGTTTAGGCTTCTTCCTTTAATGAGGGCCCCTAAACCCTGAACCCTAAACCCTAAACCCTAAACCCCAAACCCTAAACCCTAAACCCTAAACCTCCTAGCAAAAGACCGGGTGTCAAGTGGTCTCCGGTAACTTGCAAACCCAGAACCCCTTACTCAAAAGAGCCCGAGAAAGAGCCCGGTACGCCCTTGTAAAGGACTACCCTGCAAGGAGGCTCCCGTTCTACTATACTAACTATAGTTAAGGGACATGACAAAACCGAACCCCTACATTCATGGGCATGGGGCTCTAAACCCTAGACCCTGAACCTCCTCCTAAGCCCTAAGCCCTAAACCCTAAACCCCAAACCCTAAAATTACCCTAAAACCCTAAAACCCTAAAACCCTAAACCCTAAACCCTAAACCCTAAACCCTAAACCCTAAACCCTAAACCCCCCAGCCCCAACCCTTAGTAGCCGAGGCCTCCGGTCTGGGGATGTACCCACTCCACCCTCGGCCTCAACAAGTTCGCGGCAACGTCTGGTATTAGGGTTTAGGGTTTAGGGTTTAGGGTTTAGGGTTTAGGGTTTAGGGTTTAGGGTTTAGGGTGGGGTTCTTAAGGGACGGGGGGCTTCAAGGGGGGTTTAGGGTTTAGGGTTTAGGTTTTAGGGTTTAGGGTTATGTATAGGGGGGGCAGTCCGCTAAACTGCGGCTCCCTGTTCCTGTTGTTTTGAGGGTGACGCCCCAAACCCTAAGCCCAAAGCCTTAAGCCCTAAACCCTAACCCCCCCCCCCCCCCCCAAAAAAAAAAAAAACACAGAAAAGAATTCTTTCATTCGGGTTCTTGTTTGGGGGGACCCTAAACCCTAAACCCTAAACCCTAAACCCTAAAATTGTAGGGAGGGTGAGGGCCCTATGGTATATGACCCTCACATGCATGGGACCTCAGGATGGCCCTTAGAACCCTCCGTGGTTTAGGGTTTAGGGTTTAGGGTTTAGGGTTTAGGGTTTAGGGTTTAGGGCTTCGGGAATGAGGGAATTAGGGGCCTAGATAGACAGTTTGAGGGATCAATATAGGGTACCTCATGCCCGCATTCCCTACTGAGAAACCGCCAGGAAGATTCCTGAATATGATTCTCCTGAACCCAGCAAGGGATAATTCAAGATCTCCCAAGGGCCTACCGAGGGGCTAAGGAATTTCGGGTTAGGGTTTACAGGGTTTTGGGTTTGCAGGTTTCTGGGGTTTCATTTAGAGAACTGCCCATAGGGTATACAGGGTTCAAGGCTTAGGGCTTCAGGGGCTTTTGCATAGAACTTTGGGGCTTTAGGGTTTTCGAGAGGGTTGTCAGGGGTGGGGCATTTTCGGAGTTCAGGGTTGTTACGGCTTTGGTTGCGGGTGTCGCTGAGAAAGAAGCCGATCGATGGGCTAGGAGCCCAGCAAAAGCAAAGAGAATACCTAACAAAAGCTCCTCCGCCCTAAAACTCCACCCCTAAACCCTGAACCCTGCAGAACTCTTTGAGAGAGCCCGTGAAGGGAGAACGTGTAATTCATACTAAGGAACCCCATATGCCCAAGCCCTAAATAACCCCTAAACCACCCTACTTCCCGCAACCTTTACGTACAGATCTGCGGCTTCGCGCTGGCTTAGGGCTGTTAACTTATCGAGGGATGTTGCAGCGCCCCGGAGTACTTGTAAGCGAGTCATAGCGAAATGTCATCTAGGTCTCAGGGGTTTGGGGTCTCGGGCAAAACCAAACCCCCAAACCCAAGGTTTAAGGGCCTGTTGGATAAGTTTCTGAAGGCCTTCAGAGGCCTTTTCTTGTGTTGAGAGGCACCTTTGACATGCCCCTAAACCCTAAACCCTAAACTCTAAATCCTAAACCCGAACTAAGCCCAGTAGACAAGGACCAAGGTGCAGCATGCAAACGCCATCACCCTCTGCAATGCACATTTCTTCAGCAGAGGTCGTCATTCCCGTTGAGCCCATATGGCCGACTGGCTCACTGTCGTGGGCACTGACCAGGGAGCCCTTTTGCATCTCAGGAATCAGACACCGACGGCAGGTTCAGGTCGGCAAACCAGTGCCCAGCTGTGTTGCAGCAGCCAAAAAAGCACGAAGTGGCCTGAGGGTTGAGGGCTTAAGGCGTAGGGCCTGGAAATAGCCCTAAACCTCATCTGCAACAAGATACAGAACAACCCTAAACCCTAAACCCAAAAAAGCTAAACCCTTGCCTAAAGATACTTGAAACCGCAAACCCTGTCGGAGGCCTTCTCTGCATCACCAGCGGAGATGTCCTGGCGTTTAGGGTTTAGGGTTTAGGGTTTAGGGCTTATGTGTTTAGGGTTTAGGGTATAGGGCTTAGGCATCCACAGTGCACGCAGAAGCACTGAGCTCTGAGTCCTGACAAAACCTGCCCGAAGGCACAAAACCTGCCTACTTGGGTCCCGGGCCATGGGTTGAACCCTAAACCCTAAACTCTACACTCTAAACCCTAAACCCTAAACCCTAAACCCTATGGGTTGAGGGTTGTGGGCATAGGGTCTTTGATTGATCAAACCCGCGGTTTCGGGTCTTGGGCTTACAGGGAACCGAACTTCGTTTCCTATCGCACTTCGATTTCTTATCGCATGCGGCCCCGCCAAGACCTTGAGAATGGTTGAGTAAGCCTCTACAAGGAGGCCCCCTTTGATATCATCAGGTAACGGCTTAGGCTCGTTTTGTTGGGGTATTAGGGTTTAGGGTTTAGGGTTTGGGGTTTAGGGGTTTAGGGTTTGGGAGGGATTCTACAAGGAGGGCCCCCCCTTACTATACTAACTACAGCTAAGGGACTTACTCATTACACAAGCTAGAATGCTTATAGCCCTCTTTAGGACCCTTATAACTCTACTTGTAGCTAGGGGGGCCCTCCCTTGCATGTATCTACCCTAATCCTTATCGTAAAACCCCGCGCGGTTTGAAACTCCGAAGTAGCGGTAGAAACGAGCAACTAGCGGACACAGTGCATAGCAATGGCAATGACAGATGTCTTAGCCGTGACGACAGCAACAAGAAAAGTAAAACTGGTACTGGTAAATGCCACAACGCACACAAATCTTCGGCAACACTACGGGCGGGCGGAGTCCACAGGAAGGGCTTCTACGGATAACAAACAGAAACCCCAAGCCCTAAACTCTAAACCCGAAACCCTGGCCCTAAACCCAAAAGCCTTAACCCTTAACCCTGAACCCTTGCCCTGGCCCTAAACCCTAAACCATGACCAAAGCCATGACTCGCTAAGGCCTTGGCAGCAAGGTCTCCGAGAGCTTAGGGTTCATCTCTTGAATGCTTGTGCATACCGGCACAGGCTGAAAGCTTCATGGAAGTCTGAGGTGTCTATGGCCTGTACGGCACCATGTATTCTCACCATGGCTTCTTGATGTCGGGTGATGTGATCATCGATGATGCCTCGCTTCGCAGATTTGCATCAGTAGGACAAATCTCTCTGCACACCTCGTGCAGCCATGGCAGTCTCCAGTCGGTGGCTCCAAAGAAGCTGCAAGTCCGCTGCCGTCCAGAAGCGAGTTCCTGACCGGTCTGACCGGTACAGCTGTACTCATCAGGTTGCACTTGATACCCATCTTGAAGCTCAGACCCACGAAGTAACAATGCAGGGGCAGCGTCTCTGGGACGCAGAACATAGGGGAAGACTGAGTTGTTTCGCAGCTTCGGGACTCCCAGCCCAGGAGTCCACCCGCTCTTAAGCCGTGGCTTAACGGATGGCGCGGGTGGAATGGCCATTGTGTCATCGAATTTTGTCAGCCATGCTGCTCCAAATTTTCAAGATTTCCAGAATCCGAAGCTTCGGGATGTAGGGGTTTAGGGTTGGGATGTCCCCCTTATACTAACAATCCTTATGGGGATTATAATAGGGGGTACTATAATTCCTCCTAAGGGCTGTTAGTATATCATGGGTTTCCCAACTAGCCACCCTCTCTACTACCCCCCTAGGTTCCCCCCATCATTAGGGCTATCTAAGGATAATTGAGCCTAATTTAGGTTAACTAAGGAGGGAACCTAGGGGTAGTATAGCGGGGGGTTAGGGAAACCCAGGGGTATCAGGTTCCCAAGTTTAGGGCTTTTGAGGGCTTAAGGGGGAATCAGGGCGTTTTTCGATGCAAGGGTGTGTCATAGCGGTGTAGGGTTTAAGGTTTCTGGTTTAGGGTTTGGCGTGCAATTCGGCCTTGGATTCGGAAGTAACTAACTAGGATGGCCCCTAAACCCCTCTGAAGAAAATTCCTACACGTAATCCTCTTAAACCCGCAAAGGGAAAACATAAGACTTCCCAAGGGCCTTGGTCTGCGTAACGGAGGTCCCAATTTAAGGGTTTGGTGTGTAGGGATTATAAGGTTTATGGGTTCATGGGATTTAGAGCTTAGAAGGCCCAGAGTGTTTATGGGGTTTTTGGGGTTTAGAAGGTTTATTTGGGGCCCTGCTGCGCTTCGTTGGGACTGGAATTGAAGCCGTCCTTGTCGAGAGCCGTTGCCAAAGAGGCCTCAGGGTTTGGGGTTTGGGGTTTAGGGCTTGGGTTGTTTTTGACAGGGCTAACACTACAGTTGATGACAAAATCCTGCATCAGCTTCTTCACAACCCAACCCCCTTACCACCCTTAATTTTATCATTGATACAGAGTCCAGTCCCCACAAACCCATGACCCCAGACACCCAAGCAACATTGAAATTAAGGGGGTGCGCAGGGGATTTCTATCATGCAAGTTGATGTGTGGATGGCTGGGGTCATGCAGGGATTTCTATCATCCACCATAGGACCTGGAAACTGACCCCTGCAGCTACAGGGAGAGGGATCACTGGGAGGACCTTCCCTGTAGACCCTGAACCCTCAACTCTGAAAAACAAAAACGGCCCTGCACTAAACCGAGGTTGCAGGTCTCAGACAACCTTTCGTTTTTAGGTTTTTAGGTTTAAGTTTCGGGGCTAGGGTCGGTTGAGGGTTGCAGGGGCTTACCAGGAGGGGCGCTCTTACTATCGCGTCTTTGACTGAGGTGCGACACCTTGACTCTAGACGCTATAGCGCTATACTCGTAAACAAGAGGGGGGGGAGGGGGGGGGGGGGGGGGTGTGAGCAAAACCGGGTCTATTTAGAAGCTGGGGCTTGTGATTTATAATACAGGTCCATATACCTAAATGTAATAAACCTAGAAGAGCACGGCTTCTAAATAGACCCTACGGTCGGATTTCAAAAGGACGTTGGCAGAAATTAATAATTTTAATAATTTTAATAATTTTAATAATTTTAATAATTTTAATAATTTTAATAATTTTAATAATTTTAATATTTTTAATAATCCTGAGAGGCTCCCGGAAAATTAAAATTATTAACAATATTAAAATTATTAAAATTATTAATTTCTGCCCTGAGAGGCTCCCGGAAAATTAAAATTATTAAAATTATTAAATTATTAAAATTATTAAAATTATTAATTTCTGCCATGAGAGGCTCCCGGAAAATTAAAATCATTAAAATTATTAAAATTATTAAGATTATTAAAATTATTAAAAATATTAAAATTATTAATTTCTGCCCTGAGAGGCTCCCGGAAAATTAAAATTATTAAAATTATTAAAATTATTAAAATTATTAAAATTATTAAAACTATTAAAATTATTAATTTCTGCCCTGAGAGGCTCCCGGAAAATTAAAATTATTAAAATTATTAAAAATTATTAAAATTATTAAAATTATTAATTTCTGCCCTGAGAGGCTCCCCGAAAATTAAAATTATTAAAATTATTAAAATTATTAAAATTATTAAAATTATTAAAATTATTAAAATTATTAAAATTATTAAAATTATTAATTTCTGCTCTGAGAGGCTCCCGGAAAATTAAAATTATTAAAATTATTAAATTATAAAAACTATTAAAATCATTAAACTTATTAATTTCTGCCCTGGGAGGCTCCCGGAAAATTAAAATTATTAAAATTATTAAAATTATTAAAATTATTAAAATTATTAAAATTATTAAAATTATTAAAATTATAAATTTCTGCCCTGAGAGGCTCCCGGAAAATTAAAATTATTAAAATTATTAAAATTATTAAAATTATTAAAATTATTAAAATTATTAAAATTATTAAAAATATTAAAATTATTAATTTCTGCCCTGACAGGCTCCCGGAAAATTAAAATTATTAAAATTATTAAAATTACTAAAATTATTAAAATTATTAAAAATTTTAATTTCTGCCCTGACAGGCTCCCGGAAAATTAAAATTATTAAAATTATTAAAATTATTAAAATTATTAAAATTATTAAAATTATTAAAATTATTCATTTCTGCCCTGAGAGGCTCGCGGAAAATTAAAATTATTAAAATTATTAAAATTATTAAAATTATTAAAATTATTAAAATTTTTGAAATTATTAAAATTATTAAAATTTTAATTATTAATGGTTTCATAATTTTAATAATTTTAACAATTTTAATAATTTTAATAATTTTAATAATTTTAACAATTTTAATTTTCCGGGAGCCTCTCAGGGCAGAAATTAATAATTTTAATAATTTTAATAATTTTAATAGTTTTAATAATTTTAATTTTCGGGGAGCCTCTCAGGGCAGAAATTAATAATTTTAAAAATTTTAATAATTTTTAATAATTTTAATAATTTTAATTTTCCGGGAGCCTCTCAGGGCAGAAATTAATAATTTTAATAATTTTAATAATTTTAATAATTTTAATAATTTTAATAATTTTAATTTTCCGGGAGCCTGTCAGGACAGAAATTAATAATTTTAATATTTTTAATATTTTTTCTAATTTTAATTTTCAGGGAGCCCCTCAGGGCAGAAAATAAGAATTTTAATAATTTTAATAATTTTAATAATTTTAATAATTTTAATAATTCTAATTTTCCGGGAGCCTCTCAGGGCAGAAATTAATAATTTTAATAATTTTAATAATTTTAATAATTTTAATAATTTTAATAATTTTAATAATTTTAATTTTCCGGGAGCCTCTCAAGGCAGAAATTAATAATTTTAATAATTTTAATAATTTTAATATTTTTTCTAATTTTAATTTTCAGGGAGCCTCTCAGGGCAGAAAATAACAATTTTAATAATTTTAATAATTTTAATAATTTTAATAATTTTAATAATTTTAATAATTTTAATAATTTTTAACAATTTTAATAATTTTAATAATTTTAATTTTCGGGGAGCCTCTCAGGGCAGAAATTAATAATTTTAATAATTTTAATAATTTTAATAATTTTTAATAATTTTAATAATTTTTAATAATTTTAATAATTTTAATTTTCCGGGAGCCTCTCAGGGCAGAAATTAATAATTTTAATAATTTTAATAATTTTAATAATTTTAATAATTTTATTAATTTTAATAATTTTAATTTTCGGGGAGCCTCTCAGGGCAGAAATTAATAATTTTAATAATTTTAATAATTTTTCATAATTTTAATAATTTTAATTTTCCGGGAGCCTCTCAGGGCAGAAATTAATAATTCTAATAATTTTAATAATTTTAATTTTCCGGGAGCCTCTCAGGGCAGACATTAATAATTTTAATAATTTTAATATTTTTTCTAATTTTAATTTTCAGGGAGCCTCTCAGGGCAGAAAATAATAATTTTAATAATTTTAATAATTTTAATAATTTTAATAATTTTAATTTTCCGGGAGCCTCTCAGGGCAGAAATTAATAATTTTAATAATTTTAATAATTTTAATAGTTTTAATAATTTTTAATAATTTTAATAATTTTAATAATTTTAATTTTCCGGGAGCCTGTCAGGGCAGAAATTAATAATTTTCATAATTTTAATATTTTTCTAATTTTAATTTTCAGGGAGCCTCTCAGGGCAGAAAAGAATAATTTTAATAATTTTAATAATTTAATAATTTTAATAATTTTAATAATTTTAATATTTTTCCGGGAGCCTCTCAGGGCAGAAATAATTTTAATAATTTCCATACTTTTAATAATTTTAATAATGTTAATTTTCCGGGAGCCTCTCAGGGCAGAAATAATTTTAATAATTTTAATAATTTTAAATGTACTTTTTTAGCTTAGAATCAGTAAAAACTGAAAATTTGCTCAAAGAATCCTACAACATAGTAAAAAATCGCAAAAATTGACCAATTTGGGGGCCCGTGTAGTATAAAATCAAATAAAAAACGGTACGTGAGAATGCCTTCAGATGCAGGAGAAAAGAGTACCCAGAAACCGCGGTATCATCTCCAAAAAATGACAAAAACACACCGTACTCTCCTACGCGATCCTACGCGCTATCCTGCATTCCTTCCTCTTTGTCTTTGGTTCGGAAAAGAAAGGAACGGCTACCAGCCTCCCTCCCGACTTACATCTTTACATTCTCTTGTTTCGTCCTGCTCACCCGGAAAGAAGGTCTGCCTCCAGTCTTTCTTCGCCTCCCTGCTCACTATTATGAGTTCCTTTCACTTCTCTTCTGTTGCTTACATTCTTCTCAAAAGTGTGAAAGGTGCGGGGGACATCCCTTTCACTTTGTCTCTTCTGGGGAAATTCCCAATTGCAGTAGGCTCTCTCTCCTTGTCTTTGTTCTGTGTTCATATAGGGAATGAAGATAGAAGATGAATAAATAAGAAAGAATCATGTCTATAATGTCCTCTATCCGTGTCTC